TTTCAATGATACGTCATAAATAATCACAACTACTATCTAGTAGACGATATTACCATTAAAAATTAAAAAAAAATCCTTTTCATTCAATAAAAAGTTGTTTAACCAACTTTCTTCATTTAGACAATTATAATTATTAATTTCTCATGTTTTTAAAGTAAATTTTATTGAATTAGTTTTGATATGATAATAGGTTTCAACTATAAAGTTGAATAATTTTTCTTTTATTTATTTTTAAACTTTATTTATGTGTTCTACTACCATTTTATAAAATTCCAAATTTTTGGTAACATATTACTGTAAGCATATCTAAAAGAAATGATTTTATGATAATAGACCAATATATATATATACTAAACCAAATTTTTGCGCTAATTTAAATCCTAAAATTAGATTTTTTCTACATCTACATTCTACATTTAATTTTTATATGTTAAAATAATTCATGCAAAATTTCAATTCAAAATGTTACTGTTAACTTATTTTTAGCTTCGATGCGAAGCTGAGAAGGTATTGGTTTTNACATTCTACATTTAATTTTTATATGTTAAAATAATTCATGCAAAATTTCAATTCAAAATGTTACTGTTAACTTATTTTTAGCTCCGATGCGAAGCTGAGAAGGTATTGGTTTTAACTATGATGTGTTTTTTTGTGTCTGTTGCCACTTTTTCTCAGCACTCACCGAACGGATTTCTTTCAACGATACGTCAAAAGATCACAAATCGTATCTAGTCGAAGACATTACCCTTAAAAATTAAAAAAATTTCCCTCGTTCCCCGTAAATGGGTGAAACCTCCAAAAAAATTACAAATTTAAAAATAGCTACTTTTCGAAATTTTTTCAATTTTTTTTACTAAAAACTGCCGTAACTTTTTCAAAAATGAACATATGAATATAATTTTTTTTTTTTTATACGGTTGGGTTTACGGAATAGTTATCTGATTACACAGGTTGATATAACGTACTCACACCCATTAGCAAAACAAAACATTAAATTTATCTATATCATTAGAAATATTAATAGAAATAGAGGTTTACATTTTGTCGTGTTATAATATTTCCAAATAATAATATTAAGTAGTCGATTATCTAATGTTCACCTTATTATAATATACTTATTTATGTATATTATAAATAAATTATTTATTTGTGTGTGTTAATTCTTTTTTTTTTAAGAATGAACAAAAGAATACAGTTTGTGGATTAATTGAAAATGTTTTAATTTAATATATTTAAATTTACCATATAAAGAGTTTAAATAACGAGTTTTATTATAGAGTTTATGTCCGTTATAGCACTGTGTCTTCTCCTTTTTGATAGAGCTATATTCTATAGTATTGTAAGCAGGTAATACTGACCTAGATAATTTAGTTGCAGTAGCCATAACAATTATAATTATTATTATTGACTTTGGATAGACTTGAAATGAAATTTAAAGTGTGTGAATCAGCGGCTATTATATGCTAACTTTATCTAACTTGGTCGACAAAAAAGTAAATTTATGCCACTATACTATGCCATAGTTATTATTGTAAATATTTTTTGTTTTTAATTAGACTTGATTAATAAATAATAATAACAATAAATTAATGTTTTTTTTTTAGACTGCATACTTTACAATTTATAAATTTATTTATATTTATTACGTTTCAAAAAAAATCAACCTATCGCTAATATAAAAATCAGGCTCCAGTGGAAAGATTAAGTGATTAATTAGTTTAAAATTAAAAAATAATAATAATTATTGACTTTCAGACATTATAAATAAAATTAATTAATTATTTAATAAAACATATGTAATAATAAAATTTAATCTATAAAAATATGATAAAACTTTTACGCCAAAATCGTGTATACAAACTCGCTTTTTAAAAGTGTAAAACGCAACACAGATTACAAAATATTGCTTATTGGGTCACCAAAAATATTATCGCATAGGTTGTGATGTCTTTGACATACATTGATCGAACGGCTTTTAAAATAGGGGAATAAGTAATTTGTAACTAGTAAAAGAATTAATAGTTCCTTTGCTGTTTACAAATGACGTATATAATATTACTAACGTTATATTAATAACGTTACAATATAATGAAGTCATTAAACAACAATTTTAATTTACTTGTGTCTATATCTTGAAGCTAAAACTTAATACTAAACAATGCGATTCCATGAGGGTATGACTTTACAGCCATAACACCACTGATGTCGTAACTGACCAAAAACAACAACCACATACACAACTGATAAAACATTGACTCATGATAACTATTAAATAATATTATTTCAAAAGTGATATGAACAATGTAATATGAATAACTTTCATAGATCCACGAAAATAATTAAAACAACTAAAATGCAAATTAAATAAAAGTATAACAGAACCAAAGAAAAACAGAAAAACTTACGGAATCAAATGTAATGAATATATCTGTAACATATTACTACTAATTTAGAATTTTTATAACAATTCAATTACAACGGGCAGCCGAAAAACTGGCTGTTGGTAATGGAAACTGGTGGATAAGACGGAGGTGCTATCAACTTACCTCAGCTATGTCGCCAAATAATAGAAATTCAAAACAATCATGTTGGCTTTAACAATAAGTTTGTTAAATTGTTTAAAAAAAAAAAACACACATCATGGTAAAATTAATACCTTCTCAGCTTCGCATCGAAGCTAAAAGTGTATATGCTTATAATTATTAATATTTACTTAACATTTTATAAATTTATAACATTTTTATTGTTAATTTACTTTATAAAGAATTAAAATAAAAGTTTGGTTGAATTTGAAAAAATACGATTCTTTATTATTATTTGTATATATATCATTCATACAGGCCATCAGTACTGGAGTAATACTGTCCTTGTACTTCACCATTATTAAGATAATATAGAATCTGTACTGACAGTCAGTACAGAAATACATTATCATCTGTAATTTATGCTAGTACAGTGCCCTAAGTAAATTTCTGCTTGGTTAGTTATAAAAGTTACATGCGAATTTATATGAAAGTATAGTTAAGCAGAAAATGTTGGCTTGGATTAACTATATATTTTGTTTGAATAACACTCTGCTTTCAATAAATTCTACAAAATATCATTAGTTTAACCTGTTTTATTTATATACAAACATAAAATTAAATATTTTATATTGTATATTGATAAATAAAATTGTAATTAACTAAATAAAAATTTGTTAAATTTAAAAGTTTAACTACAGACTTTTATAAATTATTTTCATATATAGATCATTGAATATAGAAATAAAATATAATTATTATAGTTAGGTACTAAAATAATAATAAACAAATTAAAAAACAAATTTTTTTAAATTTGATATTTATTTAATTTATAAATATCTGTTTTTAATTATTTTCAAAAAATTATAGCTGTATTATTATATATTAAAAATTTTTTACTTTAGCGATTTACAATACTATATCGTGTTTATTTCTTGTTTCATTTAATCAGGGGTTTTTGTGAATTTTATTTTATCATTAGAAATAACTTGATAATGGTGCACTTACTAAAGTTACATTTATTTAAATATTATTCTCTTAGTTTAGATTAATTTATTATAACTTAATAATTTTAATAAATTAATTATTTACAAACAATAATAAAACAGACTAAAGTATTTCATTAATTATATCGTACGTAACGTCTACGTTTTCTAAAATAAAGCTTAAATGTTTAACAAAAGTATCAACAATCTTATACACACGGTAAGTATTATCTACAATAATAAATTCATCCTCATCTCCGACAAGACTGGGTTTTTCTATCAATACAGTTTCTACAACATTTCGATATGACTTTTTTAAATCATCAAAAAAACTGATAGAATTTGTTTCCAATGTTTTAGTAGCATTACATTTTTTTCCAAACATTTGACATAAGTCCTTAAGCTTATCTTTTATCATATTTATCTGAGAGTCTTTTTGTACACAAAAAACAAAAACATCAGATGAAAAATATTCCTTTAAATTTGCAAAGTACTTCTTTCTAGAATAACCAGTTAAATTTGTAAATAATACGATCTTTTGTTTTATTTTATAGTTTGCATCTAACACAAAATCTTGCATACGATCTTCAGATGTAAATTCGTTTTTTTGATTAGTTATTATGTCACAAATTACTGAAATATGTGTCGCTAACAGTCTAAAGAATATAATATTCATTTGTGTCAAGAATTGAGTGTGCAATATTTTTATACTATAAAATCTTTTAAAAAACTTTTCAACACTCATAGCTTCTTCCATCGATGTTTTGATCATATTAATAGCATTTCCCCATTCTATACCGTGTCCGTAGTTTTTTTGAAAATAACCTATGGCATCATTTTTGTATAATGATAATTTATTATTATGATGTAAGTATAAATTATTTACACAAATTTTATCACGATTTTTTATGATGATATTGGACTGAGCATAAATAGACAAAGCACTTATAACCTCATTGAAAACTTTTCTCTCAAAAACATAAACTTTCATTAGATTACAATCTGAATCTAAATTTATTGTTGTATAGTTATTATACAACAAATGTTGAGGGTTAGTGATGTCATGTGTACTTTTTACATTGCAATTCATAGTAGATTTTTTAAGTTCTTGGTATATCAGTTCTCTCGCCTTCATTAAATCTAGTAAGGCTAGTGCATTATCACTGTATGGACATTCACAGTATAACATTGTAAACATCCAAATATCCAAAATATCTTTTAATCCCAAGTTATAAAGTATTCTTAACATTTCGTATGCTGTTTGGCAAAATATTGGTTCGTAGTACATCATCATTAGTGGTATATCAAACCACCTGTATAACTCTAATGATTTAATGTGATTTATTTGTATTTCAGTCCCTAACATTACAGACAAAGCCATGATTTTAATTCCACATTCTAAATCTTTTACTCTGAATTGAATTGCTTGTTTTAATAAATCATATCGCGTCATTTTGTCCGAGTTTTTTGGAGATGAGGCAATTTTTTTAAGGTGGTCTATTTGTGGAATTCCAAAATCAATTTTCATGAGATCATCATATACTATCTGCAAATTATTTTCGTCTCGCAAGTATTCTATGACAACGCATTGACCAATGTAGGGAAATATTAAAAGCGGTAGAAAACTAAATATAGTCATATCGAAATATTCTCTTTATGTTAACATAAATTTTAATTTTAATTCCTTTAGACACTTAAAAACGTTATACGTACATTAAATTTATCGGATTTAAGTATATTATTAATAAGCAAGTCTAAATATCAATAATTTTTACACATTTTGAATTTTTGTCCACTTTTTTAAACTGTTATCAAATTATACATTTAAATTACTCATTCAAAGCCATATTTTATTTAACATGTGATTTTTATTGCGTATGTTTATACAGAGTGTTACTTTAAGTTTTCACTCATAATTTTAATCTATTTCATTATTGATTAGAAGTTCAATTATGTTCTTTCTATAATGACACTATTTCCCAAATATTTATTAGAACGTGGTTGTTAATAAAAATATCTTTATTAATAATTTTTATTCAGATAATGTTTCAATATAGCTATATAGAATAATTTTATTATTCTGCTTAATACTAATTTTTAAATTATACGGCAATTAATTTGCTAAATGTATAATTGATTTGATTGATTTATTGATTTGTTACTACTTTTTTGCGAATCTCAAGCGGATGATCCAGGGAAAAAGATTCAGCTCGAATGAAGTCATCACCGAAATGGAGACGTATTTTATGGGCTAATATAAATCATTCTATTCGAAAGGCATAGAAATGTTATAACATCGCTGAAATTAATCTAGCACTGTAGAAGGAAACTATGTCGATGAATAATGTTAAATTTTGCGAAAAAAAATGTGTTTTTATTTGTTAGTTCGAACAACCTGTTATGTCTGTATCATTGTTATATTTAGAGTAAAAAACTTTCATTAAAAAAGGTTTTAAATGAAATAATTATTTTAGTAACCAAATTTCTAAATGTTAATACTAAAGCAATACAATTTGCAGAACAAAATAATACTAAAAATATTGACCCTATTAGTCGTTGAATTACATATTCAACATTGAATGTATGTTATATATTTTGTGAAAATCAATTATTCAGTTAAGAGTTGTATAAACATCATTTATTCATAAGTTATTACTACGATTTCGACTTTTGTTGTCTCCGTTATACGTATTTGATATATCATTTTGTATTTTAAATCAGCGAATTAAAATTATATTAGTATCAAGTAAATTTATTGTAATAAACGTATTACAGTAATTTTTTTTTTATAGGAGTCCATTTCTAATAATGATTTAATTAATTCAAATTTAACTTGTTAAATTTATTACTATAACTTTTTATTATTTATTATTGTTTATTTTGTCAAAACACTTATTCTACATTAAGAAAATCAAACACGTGAATAAAAATTAAAAATAAATGTCAAGCAATTTAAAACTATTTTTATATAGATTTTCCTAACAAAAGATTTAAGAACAGACTAGATAGAATTTTTTAAAAATAATATCATCATAAAATTCTTATAAGATTCATGTAATATTATTTGTTATAGTAATGTTAAAAATAAATCAACATAAATTATAATTTTTAATAATATATAAAATTTATAAATAATGCTACTACTAATTAAAAAAAAGTGCTATATGGTAATTTTTCAATGACGCAAAAATAAAACGCATTAAAAATATTAATAAATCAAGTTGATATATTTAGTACAAAATATGAAAGAGCTTCAATTGTTTTAATTTTAGATAATAAATAAAAAAAGTCTGTATACAGACTTATTATTCATATAAGAAAAATAATTTTTATCTAAGTGGTTTTACATTTCTGTGTGCTATTCATATCAATTCTCAAAGCACATTTCTTAAATACTTAATTAAGGTTAATTGAGATTAATTGAAACAATATGCATAAAAATTATTTTAACATTTACTCATAGTCATAGTACGGAAATATTTTAAAATTATTATTTATAAAAACTTTCTATAGTATTATGTACAATTTTTTTAAATTGTTATAACCGAAAAACTTGTCCAATAATTCTTTCATATGCCTCTCCTTAAATCCTCTGAATTTATAATAATTACGTCATAGTTAAAATTAATTTACCAATTTAAATTAAGTATCAAATCATATTAGTCGATTTTTTAGGTAAAACACAGTTAGTAATGATAATTATACGCACATAAAGAATAGATGAGTACAATGAAATTTGTTAAATCTACTTATTTTATAATCTCAGATTTATTAATTAATAAAATTGAAATAAATACGTAAATGATTTTAAAAAAATAGTTGGAACAAGTATAGATGATAAATTTGTAAATAGTGTTTAATTTTAATAAGTTGGTGGATTATACCAAAAGGTTAATGAATTCCTATTTACATTATTATTCCTGATTAGTACTTTTTTGATTTAGAAGTATAATATATGAATAAATATTAATTGTAGTAATTAAATTAGTATGAGATAGATATTTAATAATTTAGCATTGTCATTTTTTCGGTGAATTTATAAAAAATTATAATAGAGTAGTTATTACATTTATGTCAAATATATATAAAAATTGAAGGGTTTGACACAAAACTTTTTAGATAATAATTTGTTGTAAATTATGGATAAATGTCAAAAATACACTTTCATTATTCAATTTTTCGTGCTAATTTCAAATCAGAAATTATATTTTTTCTATCACCAATAATTTTTGATATTACTATTAATTAGTTAAAAATTATAGGATATAACTATAAGGAAAAAAGTTATGAATATTTCAATTGTATCATCTATTTAAACACCATGAGTTGAAATGATTAATATTTTTGAAATGATTTATTACGATAAAAAAACAATTAAAAACAATAAATATTGTTTTTAAATTATTACAGATTTTCATTTTTATTATGTTGAAAATAATCAGTGTAAAATATCATTTTTTTTGTTTCTTTAAAGTTGATTTTTTGAAAATTAATAATAAAAAAAAATTAATTTATTACCATAACTTTTAGCTTATTATGCAAGTTTAAAATTTACGTCATTAAATAGAAAATTTTATGAGAATTAAAAAAATGATATTGTTAAGAATAATTTGCAGTTAGGAAATTTATAATTACTATTTACTGTAAATTTGTCAGAAAAACTCAATATTTTTATTGCATTTTTATTGTATTAGATAATTTAATTAGAAATCATAGTAATAATTTCTAAGTAACTTTTGGTTTTTAAAAAGATTCTACAATTGAAATATTCAGAACTTAAATAATTTTAATGATTTACAATAAAAAGAAACAATCAAAGCGTTGTTAAAAAATCTACTCAATTGAGTGTTTTATAAAATTTGATTCTTCTTCTTCTTCTTCCTCGCCATAATCCCAACTACTTGAGGTCGGCCACCCTTATCCTAAACTTCCACTTGACACGATCTCCCACATCACTTACGCTCACATCAGCTGTCCTCAAATCGCATTCAATAGCAACCCTCCATCTCTTTTTTGGTCTTCCTCTACCTCTTTTTTCTTCAACATTCATTTTTATAACTGTTCTTACAGCTTCCGATTTTTCTCTCCTCATAACATGATCAAATCATCTAAGTCTATTTTCTCTCATCTTATCCACGATTGACGCTACACTTATACTCCCTCTTATATGCTCGTTCCTTATTCTATCTTTTTTAGTCACTCCACTCATCCATCTAAGCATTCTCATCTCTGCTACACTCATTCTCTGCTCTACTTTCTTATCAACCGCCCAACACTCTGAACCATACATCATAGCTGGCCTTATTACAGTCTTGTAGAATTTACCTTTCAGCCTCATTGGAATTCTTTTATCGCATAATACACCAGATGCTTCTCCATCCTCTTCAACCACCCGCACTTAATTCTGTGTCTTACATCCTCGTCAATACCACCACTCTTTTACACAACTGACCCTAAAAACTTAAAACTCTCTACCTCTCCAATCACGTCCTCGTCTATTGTCACTGACCTCCTCATTTCACCTATCTCGTATTCTCCTTTGTCAAACTCCGTACTCTATATACTCTGTCTTACTTCTACTTATTCTTAAGCCCTTTTCTTCAAGAGCTGATCTCCACACCTTTAGCCTTTGATTAATTTCCTCCCTATTTTCTCCTATTAACACTATATCGTCAGCAAACAACATGCAACACGGCACCTCTCCTTGTATTTCTCTAGTAATTTCATCCATCACTATAGAGAATAAGTAAGGGCTTAAAGCAGAATCTTGGTGCCCTCCTACTCTTATCCGAAAACCTTCTGATACTTCTTCTACGCTTTTTACCTGGTACAAGTGCCATCATACATATCTTCTGTTATATTATTGTACCTTTTCGGGACTCCTTTTCTCATTAATGCCCATTTTAAAACCTCTCTCGGTACTCTGCCATTCGCTTTTTTCAAATCTATAAATACCATACATAGATTTTTTTCTTTTCCCTAAACTTTTCTATTAGTTGACTTACACAAAATACTGGCTCCATTGTTGACTTACCAGACATAAATCCAAATTGGTTTTTAGATACCATGTATGTATTATAGAATTTGATTAAAATTTTTTTATTAAATTCTAGTGAAACAAAAATCATTTTTTTTAGATTTATGATTTATATAACACCATTTTACCAACAAATTTGTAATACTATGGACTGGTAGTAACACACACAAATTAAGTTTAAAAAATTTATAAATTTCAAAATAAAATAATTTAATTTTGTAGTTAAAACCTATTATCATATCAAACCTAATTTGACAATAAAAAAACATTAGAAATTAATAATTTTAATTGTCTATATGGAAAATCCACAATTTGAATACAAAAAAAATACGGGATTCATTTTCAACATGAAGACAAAATAAAGTTTAACATTTTCCTTTCCCTGATAAATGATATTACATAAGTTTTAAATTAAGATATATATAAAAGTATCATTATTTCCAGAACACTTTTAAAAGTTAAGATGAAAAAGTTGTCATTTTGAATCCCATCCTGTGAACAGGTAAAGGGTCAGATTTATAAAAAAAATATTTAAAATGATACGTAATTACCTCATATATCTATAAAAAAAATTGTATTTATCCATACATTTTTCAAAAAGT